TATCACACTTTTGAAGAAGTCAACCACTGTTATTTCAATATAATCTAAAACCTTAAAAAAAATCACCATTTCGTATAAGGGTAAGGCAAACACGTCTAACCTATGCTCCTCATCGACATGTTGTACTAGAAAATCATGAAAGAACTTTTAAGATAGGCAAACCTGCTCTTATTTTTTCTTTGTATGAGAATCCATAATCTTCTTGTTTATCCCCATAATATGAGCCAGTTTCTTATGAAATGTTGATTTGTGTTTTTTGGCATATATCTTGTCAGGAGCCTGGAGGTGCAGACTTAATAAAGTCAAATATTCTTTAATGGTCGGTGTCATATCAACTTCATTGAAGGAGAAACACTTGTATGAAGGATCCCAGAATTGTACTTCAGCTCTAATTAGTTGATTCTCAACATTCACTATAAGGAGGTGTGTTATATGTCCATGCTTCTCGTAAAACTCCTCTTGTCTTGATAGACTCATCTTCTTTCATATATCAAGCAAATCCTCTAAATTATTTTATTTGAGGAGGATGGATGTTTTTTGAGACAAGGTAGAAGCACAGTCGATTGGTAGACAATATTTCTCCTTTTATTGAATCTTTTTTGATTGAACCTTTACTTCGTTGGGTGACTCACAAGGAGCTAATACAGACGAAGAGTAAACTAGTCATTCTATGGAGTCCATGAAAAACTCTTTATTAAAGATCGTCTTTCAAGTAAGTGTTCTTTATGTAACTTTATGATATGAGCATGAATCAATGCAAAAATGAATAAGAGAAGAGGTTAGTATACCAAATAAAGAGAAATTAATTAATTAATTAATTAATTAAAACATCACACACAATAAGAGGAATGAATCTTATGCTTTTGGTCAATTCTAAAGGGAAAGAGATGGCTCAATCTATAGGTTAGGCACTTTTAAGGTTCACTATATGTGGTTCAAGGTTAAAGTCTAAAAGGTTTCCAAATTACTCCTTACGTCATTGTCCATCACAGATTAGTAAGGCACCTAAATCCTCACTCATTACAGGCTACAACGAAAAAGATTCAATTTGAGTGAGAGTATTTCGCTAGTCACTGCAAAAGCATTAAAACCTCACGAAAGCATAGGTACTTTACTCCCTCCTAGAGGGACGGAGCTCGGGTATAGAGCTCATGTTATGCTTATGCATATGAATGACATCATAAGCAAAATAAAGGAATAGAGTGAATGAGTGAATAAAGATCTTTTAAAAAAATCAATTTTATTAGGCTTTTGGATAACATAAAACTTATTTGTTGGCCTGACTCTTAGCTTGTCCCCAGTAGAGTCGCTAAACTGTCGTAACGTCTAGATCTAGGGATCTATCACTAGATATTGACTTGAAGAGTTATCACCAATCTTTTTTTATTTAGGTACAATTGACCACCTAACTGAATCTGTCCATTTTTAAAGAGAATCCTAAGTTTGACTTAGGTATATTTAAAAAGTAGATTCAATGTCTGCGAAATCAGAACTAGGTTTGAAAGTACAATTATGTGTGAGAAATGTTATAGCACATTCACAACGCTCATCGAAAGATGGCACCTACTCAATTTCGTGTTATCCATTAAGCCTTAAAAAATTTATCAAATGATTAATTATTGGAAATAATTCTTAATTGACTCCAATACTTTTGGTAAAAAATTAAGAAAATTTTTTCACTTCAAGAGTATACAAGAAAACTACTATTTCTCTTACAAAAGCTTCATCGTCGGATTATTTAATATTAAAATTTTTTTAAGAAAAGAAAAAAGAAAAAATGAGAAAGGAATGATGATTTGACTTTCGATATAGATCCTTTTTTTATTTTATAAAAAAAAAAACTCATGCTTTTATACAAGGAAAGATGGTACCAACTCAATTTCGTTTTATCCATTAAGTTTTAAAAATTTTATCAAATGATTAATTATTGGAAATAATTCTTAATTGACTCCAATACTTTTGGCAGAAAATTAGCAAAATTCTCTCACTTTAAGAGTATATAGGAAAACTATTGTTCTCTTACAAAAGCTCCATCATCGGATTATTTAATATTAAAAATTTTTTAAGAAAAGAAAAAAAAAATGAGAAAGGAATGATGATTCGACTTTCGATATAGATCTTTTTTTGTTTTATAAGAAAAAGCTCATGCTTTTATATAAGAAAAATTGATACTTTCAATTTTTTCTTAAAGCATTTTAAGGTTTTTTTTTATTTTTAAGGAAAAATGATACTTGTAATTTTTCCTTAAAAGTTTTTTTTGAAAATTTTATTTTTAAGGAAATTGGTATTTTCAACTTTTCCTCAAAAATATGTTTTTTGAAAATTTTTATTTTTATATTTTCAAGAAAAATTAATACTTTCAACTTTTTAAAAAAATTTTTTTTTTTTGAAAATTTTTTTTTAAAAGAGATCATTGAAAATTAAAGAATGTTTAATTAAATCAATAAATGATTTCAATTTAATCCATAGATAAATTGGCATAAAAAATCATATTAATAGATAAATAACAAAAAAAGAAAGAAAAAAATAAAAAGAAAAAAAATAAAAATCCTTGGAGCTACTTGGCTCAGCATGACAAAAGTGCAGCTTGAGAGACAGAAACGACGGATGGCTTGATATGCAGCTTGGCTCAGCGACTCAACAATGGCTAAACGAAATGGGTTGAAACGCTACGAGTCGGGTCCGATTTTGGGCGACGCGCGGATCCTATCCACTTTTAATTTCTCTAAAACAGCATCGTTTTCAAGTAGTATAATAGGTAAAAATTTTCCTTTTTTGCCAGATGCTTCACTCTTTTCTCTCTCTTCCCTTCAGTTTTTTATGCATCTCTCTCTAAACACAAAGAACACTGGTGAAATTCTCGCCAGTTTTTGGGGTTTATCGCCAAGAATTGGGTTTTTCAATAGAAAAGTCACCGAAAAACTTGAATTTTGTCAAAAAATTCATTAGAATTTGGAATTTTTTAAAAATTTTTCAGAAAAAGAAAAAAAAATCACCAAAAATTTTTAAAAAATTCCTAAAAATCTTTAGACTACTTATGCACATTTTAAACACTTTTTTTTGCTTCTCTTTTCTCTCTATTTGCTTTTTGTGTCTGTGTCTGTCTGTTCTGTCTCTGATCTATGGATATTTATAGGGTGAAATCCGAGAGTCCTAAAACTAGATAGGATTTCAATCCTTTTTAAGTTTTAACTCCAAGCTTTAATCCAACCACTTCTTTTTTTTTTTATAAAATCACTTAGATCCTTTTAACATATTGTGGTGTCTACAAAATTTAAATGAAAGTGTTCAAAAATGAATTAATTATTTGAATAAATATTTTTTATAAAGGAATTTTGAATATTAAAGTTCGATGAGATTAAAAAAGTAATTATAATAAAAAATAATGATATTAAAGATAGAATAAACATGAAAAAATGCAACATATGTGTCATTATATTTGTAAAAAAGTATAGATAATACTAATAACATGAACAATAAAAAATAAATTTTTAAAAGAATTTTGTAGTTAGAGTTGAAAAAAAATAAAAATTATATAAAAAATGAAATATAATAAATTAGTTTATTACTCGTGCAATACAATAATTATCTTTAATTATTTAAATGTGTGTAAAAGCAATAATTAACATTCTTTAATTATTTATATATTCAAAATATATGTAAAATACATATAATATAATTAAGATATCAAATCATTATAGAATTAAATTTTTTTATTAAAAATTTAAAAAAATTTTAAAATATGAAAAATACTATTTAAAGAATAATAAAATATTCAAAAGGTATCATATATATAATATATGTTATATTAAAAGTAAAGAATGCAGTTAAATATTAATATAAATGTCTGTTGATGAAAAGTCTCATACAAAGTGCTTACATATTCATCTATTCTCTATTAGCATCTAATATTAGAAACAAAAAGTTTTATATATTTTAAAAGAGAAAGATGTAAATAAGCATTAAAATAAAGTAGTAAAATATCTAGTTGCCAATCATTCTTTGTATAAGATTGGTGCATGTAAAACTGTGACATAGTATCATTTCTGTTAGTATACTGTCACTTAATGCTTGCAAGTAAATTTATCAATTATCATTTCTATTAGTATTATGAAACATAAATCTATTTAAAAAATTAAAGTGATTATTGAAAAAGTAAATTTAATGTAGATGTTTGTAAGTTAAAGTTAAAAAACTTATCATCAATAGTTATAAAAGAGAAAAATAAATGCTTTTGTAAATTTTAACTTTATACTTCACAAAATATAAAAAAGTACACATAAAAATTTAAGAAAAAATGTAGAGAAATATAATTGGCTTTAAGAGTTTCATTGAATTGTTTACTCTAATATGTTATACGTGATCTTAATTATTATTTTAATATAATTTAATATATATCAATATTTTGTTTCAATAAATTTTTAAGATTTTAAATATTAAATAACATTAAAATATATATAAAAATTAATTTACTATTATATTTTTAAATCAAAATCTTTAATAATAATTTTTTTACTATAATTTATCTTAATAACATTGTTGCTTTTAAATTTAAACGTATATTGTAATACTGATTTTATTTCTACTACTAAGACGTTATATCACCTCTACGATTATTTTCAATCTCAACAGATATAATTTCACTCTATATCCAAATTAACCATCATTTAAATATCCAAGTTGGGATAGACGAGAATTTGAATGATAGATTTTAAGCAGCCCTAAATTGGCCAGATCCGATCTCGGCTTTTGAAACAGGTAAATGGTTTAAATGGAGCGCATCAATTAGGCGTGGGTCCGAAATCAGGTTTGGACTTTTGGCAGCAATATATCATTTGAGCGCGGTGCGTGGGTGTCTCATCCGACAACGAAGCAGCTGAAGGAAGAAGAATTGGAGCTTTCGGTTTGTTTTTTTGATGACGATGATGATGATCATGAGGGGTTGGAGAAGCTCTTCTCTCTCTTCTTTTTCTTCTGCCTTTGATCATCTTCGACAATTGGGATCGGGTAACCCTAGATCTGCCACTTCTCTCTTTTATTCCCAAATCTCTTATTTCTCTACTACCCATTGCAAGAAGAAACCCAAGTAGGTGTTTGATCAAATTGATGGTGCCTTAAACAAGTTTGATGAGATGCTACATATGCATCGACGTCCTTCTATTGTGGAATTTAATCAATTATTAGGGGCCATTGTTAGAATGAAGTATTATGAAACTGCGGTTACTCTGTTGAGAAAAATGGAATTACTAGGAATTAATCCTGATGTTTATACTCTCAGCATTTTGGTAAATTCTTTTTGCCGCTTGCATCGTGTGGATTTTGGGTTTTCGGTTTTGGGGAAGATGTTGAAGTTGGGCATTGAACCAAATACTATAACACTCTCCACTTTGATCAATGGACTTTGCATTGGAGGTAAAGTAGCTCAAGCTGTGAGGTTGTTTGATGACATGATTCGAGAAGGGTATCAGCCTAATTTAATCACTTATACTACGATAGTAAATGGTCTTTGTAAAATAGGTGAAACTATTCGGGCTATTAGATTGCTAAGGACTATGGGAGAAATAGGTTATGCACCTAACATTGTAACATACAGCACTATCATCGATAGCCTTTGTAAGGACAAGAATGTAACCGAGGCTTTGAAGCTTTTCTCGGAAATGAGAGGTGAAGGCATTCCACCTAATATTTTCACTTATAATTCCTTAATTCATGGTATGTGTAATTCATGTTAGTGGAAGGAGGTCACAAGATTATTGAATGAAATGATGGTGAACAATTGCAAACCTAATGTCATCACATATAATATTGTGGTTGATGCCCTTTGTAAAGAGGGTAGGGTTTTAGAGGAGGGTAGGGTTTTAGAGGCTCAAAATATTTTTGATAGAATGATTCAACAAGGTGTTGAGCCTGATATAGCTACCTATAATTCATTGCTTGATGGATATTGTTTGCAAGGTAAAATGGGTGCGGCTAGAAAATTATTGAATTCAATAACTAACAAGGGTTGTGTACCTAATCTATTTAGTTACAACATCATTATCAATGGATATTGTAAAGCTAAAAGGATTGATGAGGCAATGGAACTTTTTCATGAAATGACTCGAAATGGATTAATCCCTAATGTTGTTACTAACAGCACTCTTATAGGTGGCATGTCACAGGTTGGGAGACTTGCATTTGCACAAGAACTTTTGAAAGAATGAGTGCTCGTGGCCTAGTTCCAAACGCGATCACTTATTGTACTTTGTTGGATGGCTTATGCAAGCGTTGTCATATTCATGAGGCATTGGGACTTTTTCATGTAATGCAGAATAGTGGGTTAGATCCTAACATTGTCCACTATTCTATCTTAATTGATGGCTTGTGTCGAGTTGGGCAACTTAAAGTTGCAAGGAAATTATTTTTTGCTCTCAAAGTCAAAGGGATACACCCTCATGTTCACACATATAATATAATGATCAGAGGACTTTGTAAAGAAGGGCTGCAGAATGAAGCATACAAACTGTTTAGTAAAATGGAAGTGGATGGTTGCATGCCAGATAGTTGCTCTTATAATGTGATGATTACAGGATTTCTTCAAAACAATGACATATCAAGGGGAATGCAAATTCTTCGTGAAATGGTTAACAAAGGATTTTCTGCAAATGCATCTGTAGCAGCCATGCTAGTGGATCTAATGTGTCGTGATTCAACGGGTGAATATATTTGTGCAGTAGTTCAGAAACTTTGAAGACTATCAAAGTTCTAATATGGAGTGATTTCTTCCCAGCCAATATTAGTGCAATATATCCAAACAAGTTTTATAATCTGTCGGGGTTGCTAATAAATATCTAAGCAGTCCCTAATTCCATCATATGAACTTCATATGGATGGCAGTATTTTACTCCTTGATTAGGCATTAGGCCGCATGCAAGTATCCTATTAAATTCAGGAAGAGGGCTGATTTTGAATTTTTCAGCCTGCAGGCACTCTTTTTTCTTCTGTTTTTCTCCTTTTTTTTCTGTTTTTTTTTTTTTCTTCTAGGGCACCTATAGGCATAGCAGTTTTGGGCTCTATTAATGGTTTACCATTCATTCTAGTTTTGATAATCTTGCAAAACGTATAATATTCTCCTTTGCAGAACAAATGTCAATGCTCGTTCATCCTGCTTTATAATCATATTGTCTTTTCCTGGTGGTGTTTCTTTGGAACTGGAAGCACTAGAAAGTTCTTTGTTGTGAGTTTTGTTTCGTGGAAATGAGCTATTTGGTTGAATTGAAGTGAATGGTATAGAATTTAAATAATTCTTTTTTATTAACATAAATTTCCATTTGACATGCATTTCCTATGCTCAGATGGCGAAGTCACCAGAGCTATCTCCTGTGGTGGTGCAGGATTTCTGTTGATCCTCGACCAAGTGGGGAACTGGCGTGGCTGGCTGCCTTGTCTGCTCTAACTGAACATCTTACAGGGATAGGATCACATTGTGGAATTGTATGTACTGAAATTCAAAAAATTTCCCTGGATCTATCATGAATTGACATGATTCTAATATAATGCATCTCTGTTTTCCTTTATTCTTCTTAACATATAAATTTATGTAGTTATGTTCTTATAGTTTTCCTCTCGATTTTTCCTCTACTTTATAGTTCCTAGTGAGGGACTTTGAATAATTTGATTAAATTTCTTGCCCTGCAATTTTTGCTTTTTGGTTGGTGTCATTTCTTTTGTGCTACTTGCCTTACTCTTTGCTTATCATTCTCAGATGTATAGTACAAATTTAATAGTAACAAATGCATGCCAGAAACTACTTATTTTTCTTAATGTAAATTTCAGATCAAAGTGGACATAAACATAGAATGGGATTTATAAATGGATCACTGAATTATGGTTTTACCTCTATCATTTCATGATCTGAACCTATAAAACTTGTTTGTGTTTGCTTGGACACCACCTTAGGTGTTTGCCACAATGATTTTAATACCTTCTTTAGTGAGACTGGGTCTGGCAAGCATGTGCCAAGGGCTATATTTGTTGATCTAGAGCCCACTGTCATTGATGAAGTTGGAGGAGGGACTGTTAGACAACTCTTTCACCTGGAGCAACTTATATCTGGCAAGGAAGATGCTACTAATAACTTTGCTAGAGGACATTATACAGGTACAAGCATATTTTCTGCATTTCCAAAGTACTAGCAATTTTGTTATATTTGATCGCTGGCTTAAACTTCTTTGGTGTTGCATACTGCAGTTGGTCAGGCAATTGTGGATCTTTGCCTTGACCAAGTGAGAAAATTGGCTGATAACTGCACTGGTTTGCAAGGATTTTTTGTATTTAGTGCTGTTGGCGGAGGAATTGGTTTTGGTTTGGGCTTGTTGCTTTTGGAGCGCTTGTCTGTAGATTATGGAAAGAAGTCAAAACTTGGTTTCTCCATCTACCCTTCTCTTCAGGTAATTTCTTGAAGACTTCAAGGAAAAGTACAGGTTTCTTTAACCCTATGCTTGAACTGTTATGTTTGTGCAATTCACTGAACAATTATCCCCAATTGTGCAGGTTTCTACTGCTGTTGGGGAACTTTATAATAGTGTGCTCTCAACCATTCTCTCCTTGAACACACAGATGTTGCTGAGCTTCTTAACAATGAAGCTATATACGATATTTGTAGGAGATCCTTAGACATTGAAAAACCAACTCAAACAAACTTGAACCACTTGATATCCCAAATTATCTCTTCTTTGACCACTTCATTGAGGTTTGATGGTGCCATAAACATGGACATCGCAGAGTTTGGACATTTTAGAGTTTCAGAATAACCTTGTATCCATATCATGCTCTCATCATATGCCCCAGTAATCTCAGCTATAAAGGCTTACCATGAGCAGCTATCAGTTCCTGGGATTACAAGTGCTGTTTTTGAACCATCAAGCATGATGGCTAAATGTGATCCAAGGCATGGGAAGTACATGGCATGCTGTTTAATGTACCTAAGGATGTCAATGCTGCTGTTGCTACCATCAGAACTAAGCGGACAGTTCAGTTAGTGGATTTGTTAGTAGACATCTCTTACATTTCATTTCCAAATAATTATGTATAAGCAATCTGATTATCATTATTACAAAGGGTTCACGTAGGGGAAAACATTGATTTTGCCTTCAGTTTGTTATCTGAATGATTGCGATGCATCTTTTATTTCAGGTGCCCTACTGGTTGCAAGTGTGGTATCAACTATCAGCCACCCACTGTGGTACCATGGGGTGATCTTGCTAAGGTACAACGTGCAGCGTGCATGATCAGCCACCCATTATGCATGATTGGCAGAGGTTTTCTCCCAAATTGACCACAAGTTTGATCTCATGTATGCCAAGGGAGCATTTGTTCACTGGTATGTAGGTGAATGAATGGAGGAAAGTGAATTCTCAGAAACCCTTGAAGATCTTGCTGCTCTCTAGAAAGACTATGAGGAAGTTGGGGCAGAAGGTGCCGAAGACGAAGAAGAACCAGAAGATTACCAGATCTATATTTCATGACAGCAGCAGCTAATGGTCCATCATGTTCCTCGACTCATTTCAGTTCATCAGCTATTCTTATTGTTGTAAATTTGTGCATGTGTACTTCATGTCTTGAATTTGTCTACCTTTGTATGTCTTTGCTCTGAACGTGGGTGATTTTAAGTGTAGTTGTGAGAACCTATAGTTTCTGTCTTATAAGATGTGGCCCCTTTCAATGTCTAATACAGCTTCTGCTTTGTGCCATGATTTATATAATGCAAGTCAAAATTTCCCAGAAAAATAACAGAAACAACAAGAAAGTAAAGATTTCCCAATTTTCTGTTTGGTGGGTGATTATATATTTTGCTATGTAATTTGAAACAGAAGTTTTCCATTCAAGAAAAACAATATTAAAAATAAAAAAGGATTGGTGAATAAAGTTCAAGTTGTTGTTAAAAAAGTTCTAATGAGTTTTTTTTTTTTTTTTAATATGTAATTACTAATCTCGTTTATTCATGAAATAAATAATTTAACTAGATGAGAACTTTACCTTTTTTTTTTTTTCCTATTATAAGGACAGACAAGGCTTAATGAAATTTTTATTTACAATTTGTGAAGTTCGATATTAAAAATAATTTATTAAAATTTTAATCTAAAATTGAAATTTGTAAATTAAAAGATCTTAGATTAAAAGTTTTATTAAATTATTTTTAATATTAAATTTCACAAATTTCATTTAAATTTTTTTTATAAAAAATAGCTATCTTGACTTGTGAGTAGTTTTTTAAGAGGAAAAAAATAAATTAATTAATCAACTATTTACTTATATTTTTGTATTTAAGATTAAGATTGTTTAGAATTGAAATTTTATTATGAAAATTAAAATTTGAACATTTTATCAAATTATTGACTAAAGACTTTTTTAAACCTAATGTCTAAAAGTACTAATTAATTTCTATCAACAACAAAATTTATTGATCAATGGTTGTCAAACTTGATTAAATAAAAAGAGGATTTTGCTAATGATGATCTTGGGATGGTTTTTAAAATTACAAGTTTCCATGGAGTGGGTAGTTGATCCCTTTCCCTCTCTTTTTTATTTTTTTATTATTTTTTTATCCATGTCTATCTTCATAAGTTTCTCTCTTCAAAAGTTATCCTTAGAGTTGAGCATTAACTTTAAGAAAAGGATAATTTTTATTGGGCTAAATACTCAAATCAAAATCAAACGTTTGAATGATTACTCAATTCAAGATCAAACGTTTTAATTCATACAAATAAGGATCAAACGTTATTGATTTGTAACAATATAAGATTTATTTCAACGGTAAAAGAAATGTGCATCTTACGCACCATTATAACACGTTAAAAGAATAGAAAATGACTGATTTGAAAAAATCATGCTAATTTGGACTTTTTTTTTTATAAAAAATGCTTTGAGTAATCATGTCATAAAAAATTATGAATGAATTATTGAAGGTATTTTTGTCAGAAACGCCTTTAATAACCTCATTAAATTTTTTTTTGAGATTATTTAAGGTTTTTTTTTTATAAAAAATGCCTTGAGTAATCATGTCATAAACATTTATAAGGGGATTATTGAAGGCGTTTTTAGCCAAGATTGCTTGAATTTTCTTTGGGTTTGCCTCTATCCCCCTCTTATTGATCATATAGCTAAGGAATTTACCCGACATAACTCCAAAGGCATACTTGCTCGAGTTAAGTCTTATATTGTATTTTTTTAAGGTGTCAAAGGTCTTTTCAAGGTCTTTCAAGTGCTTAGCCAGGCTCTTTGCTTTTTACTATTATATCTTCCATATATAACTCCATATTA